CAGAGGAATTTAGTGTCTAAGCCACCGTTCCACAGTAGACGCCAAGGTTTGTAGAACATTAATCAGAATTGTTCTGCGTGTTTTCAAATGATAAAGTAGTTTGCACAAAAAATAATCGCAAGCCAATTCACACATAGCATTTTAATTTTTGAGAATGTATCCAATAAGACTCCAAAAATACTAAATTGGTAGTGAGTATTTTTCATTGGTTCTCGATATCTATAAATTACATAATTTCCTACGAAAAAGGATTCAAAGGCCGTTTTATGCTCTTTTGAGGGAAACCTGCTCTTAAGATTTGGTACTCAGAGGAGGCGAGGATTTGGGCTTCAGAAATACTTGCAACCATTGGTATATTTTGAAATGTAACCCGTCCGCCTATTTGTTCGTACGGTTTTAAACCGCATGTTATGTATGAAAAGGAACCTTTATAAAGTATCCTAGTGCATATGCATCGTGTAGTATACAAAGTAAATAGTATGAAGAGCTGCCTGAATAACAAAGTGAGTATCGTATGAATTCATATGCTAACCAAATTCCTAAAAGACCCGATGCCTCTTTTTTTTCAGGTTAACTTTAAAAGCACAATTCCATGTCAAAAAGGTAGAATAAATAGTATACGTGAGTTTTTTGAAAGCTTTTGAAATACCGAAAAATTTCGGTGGTTCACAGTCTACAGTTCACGATAAGTAAGTTTAGCTATCTTGGATCAAAGCATGTTAGAAGAAAAGCTGAGGGGTTGGGGGAGGAGAAGGAGAAGGGGAATGGAAAAAGGGAGGAGATGATGAAAATTATAAGCCAAAACGGACCAACTAATCCACCGGATGGGTGTGGTTGTCAGCTGTTAGGACACATGATCGCATCTCATAGACTAACTGTGCCAAGAATCCGCAAACAGCATGTTTTTCTGCCGGTAAATGGCTTGAAACATTATGGAAGGAACAAACAATGGGAAGACAAAACAAGAGGTAATGGAGGGCAGGTGGATTCTTTGCTATGAATACTATAGTGGCGTATAAAAGTAAGTAGTCAGTCTACACAAGTTGACACAAGTGGACCTTGTATTAACATGAAGAAAAGTTAAGGAGTAAGATCTTTGTAATCGGTCAGATGCCGTAAAACAACAATGAATGAGAATAAAGCAGGTTGACCCGGTTCTGATAACATACCTTTGAGATTGAAAAGTCCAGGCGGACGTATACCATGATGACCGCAAACAACAGGAAGAAGGCAGTAATCACCATAGCTGGTTCACGGAAGAGGTTTACCATATGGAAGTCGAAATAAATCTGGCGAAAAAAAACACTTTTACAAAATATGGG